CGCCGCCGCGCTTCCCAAGCGGCGCACTATCCAGTGCGCCACCGGGCCGGCCCCCCACTGAGTTTCTACAGAAAAGAATCTTCCCTCCTCCTTCCTGAGACTTAACGATCAGCCTCGTAGAAACTAGCAATCTTACCATCCAGTATACAAAATTAGTTGGTCTTCATTTTCAGTGTATAACAGGTATCTCTCAGTCTGAAGACTTTGTTTCAAATTCTCCAAAGAGCAATTTTCCTTCCATGGTAAATTTATAGTAGTAAACTCATTACCTATCTAACTGGGTAAAGGAATCAACCAATCCCCACTCCCAGTCCAGTTTCACATCCGACATGCTGCAGGAGCAAATTGGCTTGCTTCTAATCAATTAGGCTTGAACTTCCTCTACTGTATAAATCAGTTTCTATTCTTTCATCTGCTTTCCACTTCAGAAACTATTTTGAGTTTCCTCTTCCATTCTTTGTCCAGAGATTTCTACTTTAAATGTCATCTCAGTGGAGTTTAAAGACAGAGCTAGTATTAAAGCATTTGTGGTATCCATCACGTTTAATGAGCAGTGCATGCAGCATAATTTGTAAGAGAAAAGTTGCAAACAATCTGAATATCTAATAAGTTAACAGATAAGTAAACTATGGCAGCCCTACCCAATGGTCTATTTATAGCCATTCAAATATTTATGTAGAGAACCCTTCAAAAACTGTAATTATCGTGTTTTAAAATACTGAATACTAACAATTATGTAGTATTAGCTCAATTGTATTGAGATAGAAACACTGAACAGAGAGAATACCCTAAACTATTAAATAAATTCTAAGAGGTAAGATTAAGGCTTATTTTTTAAGTCTAAATTTCTTCAAATGAGCACATTTTTATTAATAAAATTGCTTAGAAAACTAAAAGTAAAGCAAGCAGTACAGTGGGTAGAAAACCCAAGTTTATTAGTTTGACAATGCCAGTCACATTACCTCTGGGCAAGTCATGGCCGCCTTTTTTTTGCATCTGTAACTTGAAGGGCTGCAGGATTTTCACACTAATTTCTGTATCATGACGGAGTCCAGGCCATGGATAAGGAAAACGATAAGGAAGCAATCTATCCAGGAAGCAGTATGCTTCAAGTGCAGTGGGAAGTGGAGTAGAGAAAAGAGAAGGAAATACAAGCATAGTTAGTTTAGGAGAAAGAAGTACTGGAGGAAAGAACTGCTAGATGAAGCAAGGAAATCTAAGACCAGTGGAAGTGTATAAGGTGTTACCTTGGGAAGAGAGAAAGCTTCTCAAAGAGAAAAGGCACAATGAAGACAGTTTTAACCTACTGAATAAACTGAGAAAGAGTTGGAGATAGAAGGTAGAATTGGCAACTTTTAATCTATTAAACTTCTAATAAATTAAAAGGATTACCAAAGCCTTTAGGGCCAAAGTTTTTAGTTACACTCCACTCCCTACACGGAGTCTTCCCACACAGATACTTTCATCCTTCCTCCCCTGCCCTCAATAGGTCAACCTTGGTGTTTTTACACCTTGCCTTTTTTCTTCTTTTCATTATCTCACCTACTTTTTCATCTTCCAATTACTACCCTAATCTAGGTAGCATAATACCCTTGTTCCAATTTACTCATTTTCCTTTCTTCTATCTCAGTTCCAAAGTAATTTTACTTCAGTGAGTAAGTGCCCTTTATCTATTTATACCCGCCCCTAAAGCCACCCTATTTCCTCAATGCTTTTGTGCAGTCAACAGCCTTCTCTCAACCTAAATTCCACTAGTGAGTGAAGACAAAGGTTGGAGATGAAAACAGGGAGTAAAGGGACACTGGTCAAGAGTTAACTGATGGAACATAAATGTAATAAACTTACAGCTGCAAAGGAAGCCTAAAGTTACTCAAAAAGGGATAAGAATATTTTAGTGACCTGAAGTTAACCTAAAACCAAAAGCCAATACAACCACTCTATGGAATAGTACTAGCGGTAAGAAGAGAATCGTAGAAAGGTTTTTCACTATGAAATCTTTCGTATTATTGATTTTTAAAAAATAAACTTTTATTGGGAAAAGTAATTTTTTAAATGAAGAAAATCATGCTAATAATCTATTACCTCAGCAATTATCTTAAATTTGTTTCATTATAAAATTTTGCCTTTCAATTTTAACTGACACCTTAATTAGTTTTAAGGTTAACCTTCTTAATAAATACCATATTATTCACTGAAAAACCAATTCTCAAATGGCCAAAATAAAACATGTACCAAGTTTTTACTTTCCTCTAAATTACATGATCCATTGCTAGGGCATGACAGCTTATTTAAATTCTAATTGTTATCCTTGATTTTTAATACTTAAAGATCCAGCATTGCGCCACGAAAAGTGCACTTCGAACTGTTATTCCAGGTCGGGAGCAATTCCATCTCCAGGCAACAGAAACTCATAGGCCTGCTCTGAGTTGGTTACAAATACCCTAAAGACACAATCAGTTTTGACATGTTAAAATAATTAGTACAAACTCTGATGAATATAAACCTCTTCTTATCAGTATTAATAAAGGGAAGAGGGGGAGGGGACAACACAATCCATGGATAATTCCCAATCATTAGACTTTGGAAACATTCAGACTTAACAAGATGTCTACTTTGCCAAGCCAGAACAATTTTCAAGCAAGCCATCCTGTTGGTGGTTTGAGGTCAGGAACAAAGTAATCCTTACAGTTCACCCAAGATTTAGTGTTAAAATTATATGAAAGTCCATACGAATATATTAAATATTTTTATAGCTACATCATTCTATTTGATTTTCACAAATATGCTGCAAAGTACTGGGCTAATACAAGTATCTTGCCTAGATGAAGAAATTGAGACTCAGAAAAGTCCCAGCACTGCTATCTTGAGTGAAAGTTAGGATTAAAACCCAGGATTCTGTGAAACAATTCAGTCCTTTCCATGGTACCATGCAAGCTTTCCAGAAGGACTTCTGTGAAAAACAATATGAAAATTTAACTGCTTGTCCAGAGATGAGTACCCAGCCATAAAATATAAACCATTTCCAGGGGAAAACATGCATGCATTTTTTAGGAATTCCCAATAAGGGGGGAAAAATTCAACATCTTTAAAAATGTGTTTATTTTTTAAAAAATCAGTTGTGTACAAAAGTGTTTTGTAGTTTTTAATTTTCAAGACAAATACCCAACCCTCCACCCACAGCCCACCCTGCTTCAATGGTACTTCTGGTAACCCACCCATTTTCCCCTTACAGGAAGTTAACGGCTCAGAACAGACCCTCCTACAGAATTTATCATCACTAACAGATTGTTTAGAATAGAGATCTATAGAAGCCAACAAGCAAGGTTCTTTCTCAGTGAGGTTAATGAAAATCCCTATAATGGCAGTAGACTTCCAGCAGACACCACAACAAAGCACCATCAATTGCTGAAAGCTAAAAAATAGATATTATTTTCAATAGTATTTCATTTTCTATTGGAAAAGTCCTTAAATTACATTAAATAAGTCTCTGTCCCCCCAAAGAAATAGTCTAGCTTTTATTATGATGCCTGTAAAAAGTAGGTAACAGCAAACAGACAAGGATAGTTAACAACACAGTGCAATGATTTCTATCCACTCACTCCTAGAACCAAACTGATAAACTGTGCCACATCTGATTATATATAGCAGCATGGTTGAAATAACCAAGCAAAGGTGACACATTCATAACTTACATTTAGGTGATGATGTAGGTTTATGAAGGTAGATCAGCCCAATAAAGCAGTAACAGAACAAATAGGACAAGGGAGATAGAAACACTCCCCTAATCCCTATGCCACAAGATTTTTGATCTATATTGCAACAGTGCATATATAACATAATATGACATAATATGTAGACACTGAAGAAAAGTCACACTTGGGAAAAAAGGCTATTTACTAGTAAATATTTCAAGTTGCCTTCCTCCCAGTGACAGCAACTGGCTGATGGTAAGCATTTATTTTAAACTGGTAATGAAAGAATGGAAATGCAAAATTTTAAAATCAATAGTTTGTACCCTAGAATTAAAATTCCTTGAACTAGAAAAAGTAATTAATACAACATCACTAAGTAAAAGTCCATGAAATAAAGTTAACTGTAAACAGACGGCTTCCTTTTTCATATCTAAACATTGTTTCCATCTATGTACAAGAAGGTATACCTTGCTCCAGCTCTTCGCTGTCTGAATCCATCTTAAATCTTTAAAACAACAATAAAAATTCTTAATTTCCCATGTTGCTACATAGGACTGTGAAAAGTTATCATATGCCTACTGCAGAGTTTTAAAAGCTCAAATCAGGCATAAACTTATAGCCAGGATCTGCTTTTCACATTGGTAACCTTATTAAGCAGCCTAAATAGTAATACAATATGCTGCATTCTGTAGTGCATAAATAATCAAAATCCATTTTAATTGCCAATTCTTTCTTACAGATTCTTAAAAATAATTATGTTGCATAGTTTTAGGTGCCACCAGTCACAAATGTTAAATACTCCCCAAAAAGAAAAAATTAGTCTTACTTTCATAGATTACTCTCCTCAAAAACAAAATATGCAGATTCCAAACATTTATATATCCTCGAATGTGTTCTGTCTTTACGTAAACCAGTCACAATTCTAAACATTTTGGGAAGCCAACTCAGAGCATTTAATTTAGTACCAAGTTCCCCAAATATTTATATACTACTGTATACTTATTTGGGTCACAAACTACTGTCCATTCATTCATTCAGTAATCTGTACTGAAATACTATACAGCTAATTATTTCTTCTTTTAAAATGTAGGCACATACTTAGGAAATAGACCTGATTATAATAAAAGCCTACTGAAGCATCAGTGGCTTCTATCAAATCTGCCTGCCCTAAACTGGATTTCACTGTATCGTTTTTAACCATAATTTTTGAGGCTTTTAAAACTGACAAATCGTAAAACATTGAGAATTATAAAAATAATTTCTGCCAAGCTACTTCTCCCATAGGCCTGAACTTTTAGTGTCCTTTTTCCAAACATAATTAAGACCAGAAGAAAAATCAATTGTCTTAGTTTCTACATTTGGGGAATTAAATCTACCTGTAGAGAAGTGCAAAACAAAAACACAGAAGGAGGACAGTGGGAAATTTACCAGGAAGGGAAGATTATTATCACATTATATGTAAATGAGGTAAATACATTTTTATAATAAAGAAAGAATCCATTATGGAGAACCTCTCAAACCAAATATTGTACTTTCCAATTTCCTGTGCACTGGAGGTGTTGAAGTGTAGTTAGATGAGCAGATAACCTATGGGGCTGTTGTGCATAAAAATCAAAGCCTCTAAGAGTGAACTATGTAATCCTTGACCCTTAGTAATCACTGAGTTCTCTCCCCTTTGTCTAACCACAGGACATTCAAATATACCCTGATAATACAGGCAAATAGTAAACTGGGTAGGTGTATTTGATATTTTTAAAAATCCAAATATTACAAGCCACTCTCCACTAAAAAAAAATTAATTCTAACCAACAATGTCCACATTTTCACACAATCCCACCTTACTTCAAAATATAAAGAACAAGGTTTTAGCTATTTAAAATAAATAAAGAAAAATCTTGTTTCCTTTGGCATCTTTAGAAATAACTAAACTACAGCAATAAAAGGTGATTGTATAAAGAAATTTACACTTGGGCAAACATATGAGAGGAAAAACACCAAACTGTGTTTAGTATGCAATAATATAAACTACAAGAGTTTACTATTAATTAGGAAAGCCTTACAAGTTTTTGGAAGAACCTTCACATCTTTAATATTACAATATATTTAATAATGGTTCTTTTATTGCTTCTAGTATCAAGATTATTGAGAAGTCAAATGAAGTTATGCTGACTTTATGGTTCAAAAATTATTTTCCAAATACTTAACAATTATAATTTAAGATAAATAACACTTGAAGAAAGCAAACCTTTTATAATATGACTTTCAGTATACAGCCTTACTTTAATTCAATTTGATTCCATTACATCGTTGTTATTTTGCATTGGTCCTGAAAATTTAATAAGAACTGTATTTCTACGTATAGAACTGCCTGCTTAAATCCACTTCAACCTTCAAAAAATGGTCACATTAGTGTTTGAGCTTGCAAAACTAATAATTTCAAACTTTTGAACTTAAGAATGAAATGTAACTTTAATATGAATAGAAAGTCTGACTATGTACAAGAGAAGGTAAAGTTTTCAATTCTCGTATTATCAGAAACATCATAAAGAAAGCTAGATTTATAACACACTTCTATTCCTATGTGCATTTGAAGTATGTACAGTAAAACACCAACACAGCTTTCATGTGTCAATATGGGGAAGTGCAAGCAAGAATGACTTTTAAGTATCCAATAAAGCAATCTCTATAAAGCCTAAAATTAGGCTAAAAGCTACTGGAAATAGTTGATTGCATCCTTGCAAGTTCTCAAAGAAAAATTTCATCAGTTTAAAAATAGATGTCAAATTCACTGAAAACTTAGGTTGGGTTCTTTTCTTAAATCCGGGTATACTGCAATGTCATGTATTTACTGTTTTTGCAAGAAAAATAAAATTGGCAGCTCCATTTTTACATTACTACTTACTTACACAAGAAAACATTAAGAGCGTTTGAAGAATTGTGACAAAACATTCCCAACCTATGACCTGAAAATGGAGCAAGGGATACTGTCCCTTAGCATATTTCCTGGCAAATACAGAGAAATTTACCCTTAGAATATTAGCTGTGTGTGGTAAGAGAGGGGGAAAAAAAAAAAAAAAAAGATACGGTGTCCCAGTCTGTTGACAAGGACAAAAAGGCTCTGAATAGGTCACCATCTTTAATTCTGGATAAACCTCATATTTAAGTATTCCCAAATGCTTAAAATGGTGGCTTTTCAGCTACCCATCCTAAGAAGTCAAGTACAAGCATGCAAGTAAATTCACAGGCACAGAGGATCCATGTTAAAAACAGTTAAGGTAGCTGTGATGCAACACCAACAATTTGAATGGCCCTGACACACTCAAAATATTATCTTAATTATTCAACAAAATCCTGAAGCAAACTCTTGCTAGTCTTGGTACACTGCTAAACACTAAAGTAGCATGTTTTTTCCCATGGTTTTTAGCTTAGCTCAAAGAATTTTTACACTATTAAGTAAGAAAAAAAATTAAAGTATGCCCCCTTTTTAAATTTACAGACGTTTAATTAGCTTTATTTACAGAGCAGGAATTTTTTTTTTTCAGTCTTCAATGGTGCCTAGATAACATCATTAGGCAAGAATGCCAGTTTAAAAGAAATTATGCAGAATCCTAAAAATAACAGATGTTGGTGCTCCTCAAGAAGAGGCAAGCTTGACTATATCAGCAGCTCTCTCTCTATGCCTCAGTTACTCAGAAGCAATTCTGTTGCAGTCTCTACATCCCATGATTTTGAAGACAAGGCCACTATTACTGCATTCTGCAGAGAAGAAAAGAGGATAAAAAAATCAAACCTCAAGGAAACATTTAAAAAACATATTGAGAAATCATAGCTTAGCTTGTTTGTTTTCTATAAGTTGCTTAGCACATGCAATACACAAAAAGCTTTTAAAACCAATGACTGGAATCAGCAAAAGGAAAAGAAAAATCACTGACTTTAATAACAAATAATGTGTTCATCAAAACTAGATATTCCCTTATGTTCTAAACACTGAAGGATTTGCGGCAATAATTTAAAATCAATCAATTTATCAAAATCAACATGCCTTACGTACTTACCCTATCAAAGCCCATAGCACATAGGTTTTCTATTTTTTTGGTGTATTCTGGACTAGAAACTGGTGCTCCAGCATACACATGTGCCCAAAGTCGAGCTGTCTGTTTGAACATTTCAGGATTTTGTTTGTACTATATGGGGGGAAAAAAATTGACATGACAATACAGTTATAATATTCAATATGATAGCTCAACCTTAATTGCCTAAGAACTTGCTTTTCCAAAATCAGATGAATTTATATGTAAAATGTGGTTCACTTTCCATTGCAGAGGAGCTATGTTACTCGAGAAAAGATTGCTTAACCGGAAGCTTTGATTCACGAGTTGTGCTGACAAAACAGTAACAAAGACAAATAACATTAACCCAACTTTAATCTCCAAATTTAACAAATATAATTAGCAAAAAACTAATACTAAGTGAAGTGAGGTATTAGAGATGTTCCAAACACTGTGCAGCAGCAAACATTATACAACCACAGAATTTCTAGCTAATAAACATGGCCAATGTTTGTGTTAACCACAGCTTAGGCTAGAATACAACAAGATCATGTTGTTTTGCTAGAGCTGTATTAGTGTACAGTGATTTAAGGAAATCTTACATGCAAAGTCCTAACTTATAACATGTTTTGAGATGATTATGAACTCACACAAAGTAAGACTTACCATATGCATTGGAAAGAGGTAAACTTATTCTCAAATATTCTGAGGCTACCATTACTTAGTAAAGCAAAGTATAAATTAATAATACTATTCAATTCATTTTGATATTTCTTCTTCTTCATCTTCTTCTTCTTCTTCTTTTTTTTTTTGTGGCTGGCTGTTACTGAGATCCAAACCTAAGACCTTGGTGTTATAAGGCTGTACTCTAACCAACTGAACTAACTGACCAACCCCCTGATACTTCTTCTTAAAGTACTTAACACATTTTGAATATTTTAAGGCTGATATGCTTCTATTACATATTAAAACGATAAATCTAGTTTCTACCATTAATTCATAACAAGGAAGTAAGTCAAATTATTGAAATCTTTTAGGAGCTAAAAGAAACCTTTGATTCCAATCTCAACCTGTGAGGCTTAGAACTCAAAAGGAAATTGAAGCTGGAACTCAAGCTATGCTTCTGACTATCAAATACAAATAAATAGCACATCTCTAAAACAGGAAAAACTGTAATTTCAAGCACTTTGAGACAAATAATACAACATATTAACAAGGATATATACATAAAACAAGCAATAAACAGATCTTCCAGGAAAAGGAAGAAAAGTTTCCCAGAAGAGATAATATATAAATTAAACTCTTAAAGGATAAAGACATTTGCTAAGAGGAAAGGTTTCCTCAGGCAGAGGAAACATGGCTGATTAGATAAAACGGCATGTAAAAATGAATGCAATCTTGAAAAAGCATGAGCTTGAAGAACAAGAACTTAGGAGATGAAGCTGAATTTGCGGACAGTTCAAATCATGGATAAACTCGGCGAACTAAACAACATGGATTTAAGTGGGTGATAGCAGAGCTACTGACAAGTTTCTAATAGTAAAGTAAAATAAGATTTGCACTTTATAAAGCTAACTGTGATCAATGTAGAAGATGGGGGAAGAAACAAAGTTGTTGTGAAAGGGAGATCAGAGCAGTTGAAATGAGAAACAAAAAAATGTGACATATGGTAATCACATTAAGTATGTAAACACAGTGACAGAGATACTGGAAATGGAATCAACAGTAGAAAAGGAGACAGAGAGGAATTCCAAAGGCATTTAACTAAATTTAACAAAAATTTAACTACAACTTAGGTATTTAACTAAATTGGTGATGGTATCATAGAACAATGGACAGGTTTGCAGGATTTAAGATTCTGTATTCAGTTTTAGCAATGCTATGCTGAGGTAGCATTCATATGGAGCTATTCAGTTCCAAACTGTCTCTTGTGCTCAGAAGAGAGGTCAACCCTAAACTTTTTATCAATGTATATAGGTGGTAACAGTCTATGGTTTGAATGTCGCCCCCAAATATGTTGAAAATTAATCCCCATTGTAAAAGTATTAAGGGGGTGGGAAATCCATCTGTGGTAATTGAAAGTTGGAACCTTTAAGAAGTGATTAGATCATGAGGGGTATGCCCTCATGAATGGATTAACCCATTCATGGATTAATTGGCTAATGGACGAATGGGTTATCATGGGAGTAGACTGGTGGCTTTATAAGGAGAGGGAAATAACATGTGAGCAAGCTTTTTGCCCTCTCCCCATGTGATGCACTGTGCTGCCTCAAGATCCAGAAGAGACTGCCTCCCCAGAAAGAAGACTCTCACCAGATGAACCCCCTGACCTTGGACTTTCCACCCTCCAAAACTATAAGAAATAAATTTCTTTTCCTTATAAATTACCCAGTTTCAGGAATTCTGTTATAAGTGACAGGAAACAGACTAAAACAAAACATCAGTGTAGATATAGTCATCCAAGTGAGTGCATACGAGGAAAACTAAAGAGAAAAATGTGAGAATTGAGGAACTACATTTAAAGGGGAGAAAGAAGAGAATAATTTTATGAACTGAGAGGAACACTATGAAGATAGAAATGAAGAGGGTAGTATCACAGAAGTCAAGAGAAAAAACCCCTCTAGGTTAAAAAAACAAATAAATAATGCTCAGTAAATCCTAATGCCTTATAGTAGCAGTTGGAAAACTGCTTCTTAAAGGGCCAGATAGTATTAATTTAAGGCTTTCAGATCACAGTCTATTCAATTCTGCCACTACAGCTGTAAAGCAAGGTAAACAAGTGGATGTGGCTGTGTTCCAATAAGACATTACTTCCAAAACTAGCCTGTCCAGCTGTAATTTGCTGGTCCACTGCCTTAGAGTGATCAAAGATCAGAACTAAAAAATATTTATTCCATTCAACAAATTATAAGGTCACTGGTATTTGACCATGCCACCTCAGTCAAATTATCACCATGGAGTGATCATCACTGAATAGGGGTGGTGGACAGATGGATAATACACATGATAAAGCATGGATAGTAAAATGCTTTTTTTTTTTTTTTAAAGATTACCAGTAAGGGGATCTTAACCCTTGTCTTGGTGTTGTCAACACCACGCTCTCCCAAGTGAGCTAACCAGCCATCCCTATTATAGGGATCCGAACCCGGGGGCCTGGTGTTATCAGTACCACACTCTCCCAAGTGAACCATTGGTTGGCCCAGGATAGTAAAATGTTAGTCACAGAATCCAGATGGTAGACATATGGGTGTTTACTGCGTAATTCTTTTGACTTTGTGTGTTTGAATATTTTAAGGTTAGGAAAATTGCACTTACCATTACCCAATTAAATTAGTATGTTAAGAAGTCAATAAATTACGTTTTCACTATTACATCTGACAAAATAATCTTACCGCAAGAAAGGAAACCACTTCCTCATTTAGTTTCAATAGAATATGCTCTTGTGTTAACATCATAAACCACTAAAGTAGAGACTTATACACAGTAACAAGAAAGTCTTTCAAAAGCAGCCATCTTACCTGATTTGCTACTACTGCATCTTGTGGATCATCTGGTTCTGCAGCTGCCAATAGTGCTTGCAATGACAATAATACCGTGCGGAGAGTCATTGCTGCTGCCCTAAAATTCAAAATAGGAAAATATTTCAGTTAAGAGGGTGCTGCATTGCAAAAGCAAAGATGTTTTCTGGAGCTAAGAACTGTTTAGATTCTTATTCTAATTATGTAATTAAGTTACAGAAATTTATAATTATATATCTGCCTATCATATTTTTTTCTTCTCTACATAAGCCTTTCTATTTCTTAAGACAATTCAAATCACCCCATCTTGAACTGGCCTTGCCTATTTTCCTTTTGTTGCCAGCATCCTTCTTGTCAGTTTTATCTTCTGACTTATTTTCTATACAGTTCTTTAGACATAAAGTAATAAACTATTAGTATTTCTTTCAATAGCACGCTAAAAACAAATAAGATACTATCAAGCAAATATCCTTTACTTTTAAGAAAATTTAAAATCATTCCACAACATTCTGAAATAGGGAAGTTTTTTTGCTTAAAACACGTCAATTAGTTCATGCATCTAAATGTATTCATAAAGAAAATACACATTGCTATTGCTATCTAGCAAGAATTCCTGGCATTTCTGTTAAAAGTTTGTTTCACCAATTAATACTGAAATACACATTCACATATTAGATCATTCTAACCAGGCTTTTCAACTGGGTTCCTGATTTGAACCATAGAACAGAGAAAACTACTCAGTGACTACTTTCTCAGTACTACCAAGTTTGGTACATTAATAGTACCATCCTAGATGATTTGGAGAAAGTTAATTTATGATCAACAATGGATGTCTTAAGGCAGTGGGTCGCACAAAGTGTTCTTCCAACTAGCAGCACCAGTATCACCTGGGAACTTGTAAGAAATGAAAACTCTTCCCCATCCCAGACCGACTCAATCAGAAACTCTGGGGCTGTTTTAACAGGTGACTACCAAATGATTCTGATGTATGCTAACATTTGAGTACCACATACGTCTACATTTTATGTACTAGAAAAAAATTCTACTATAAATGGTTCTTTATCTAAAATGCTTAGCATAAAAATTTTTACTGACCAATTTATCCTCTTCAAGAAGCTACAGGAATAGGAAAAAAATTTTGTTATAGTGCTTAAAAAGTAGCTAAACTAGCATTTAAAAGAGAATAGGATTTTAAACAGCTTTTCAAACCACTATGTAGTTTTACTTAATAGAAATTTCTAATTCTGAAAAAATGCTGGGAAAGCAGAAACTGTTTCTCTAAACAAAGATCCTAAATTTCCTAAAAGCTCACATAAGCTATTTTCAACCAACAGTTATAACACCTTTAATATGGACAATATTCTTTTAGGACAGGAGTTGGAGCATAAAAAAGCCAAACTCAATCCTTCAATGTTCATTCTTGTCTCTCCATTATCACAATAACGGAGAAATGCTTTCTTTACTAAGAGTACATTACTCTAATTTCATTTTATGTTTGGGTAATTTCAAAGAAAATGTTTAAAGACACATGCACATTAGAAGTTGCCTAGATGTATCAGCATAAAGCTGATTTAAACCACCAAAAACAAAAAAAGGGACAAAAAGACAAAATATCACAAAAACAGAATACACAACACTTAACCTGGATATATAATACACCAACAGACTTTTTAAGCAACCTAATTTTAAAATCTATTGCATCACTTTATTTTTATTTTTTTATTTTTTATTTTTCTTTTTTTTTGTCTTTTTTTCCGTGTCCGGCAACGGATCGCAACCCTCAGTGTTGCCCCCTTACCGGACCGGGGACCGGCGACGGGATCGCAAGCCTCGGTGCTGCTCCCGTGCCTCGCTCAGCCAGTGAGCGGGAGCCGGTCTGTATGTGGGATCCGAACCCTCGGACGGGAGCGCCGCCGCGCTTCCCAAGCGGCGCACTATCCAGTGCGCCACCGGGCCGGCCCGTATTGCATCACTTTAAACAAAATCTTAAGTTACGTAATTGAGAAAACTATTTCTTTTAAGGAAATTTACCTGAAGAGTGAATATAAATCTCCACTCAAAGGAAGTATTTAATACTAAGACAATTATTAAACTCACAATAATTATTTTAACTTGCAATAAAAACACAAAGGCAGGGCTGGCCCATGGCTCACTCGGGAGAGTGCGGTGCTGATAACACCAAGGCCCAGGGTTCAGATCCCATATATGGATGGCCGGTTCGCTCACTGGCTGAGCGTGGTGCTCACAACACCAAGTCAAGGGTTAAGATCCCCTTACCGGTCATCTTTAAAAAAAAAAAAAAAAAAACACAAAGGCCCCCCACCCCCCCCCCCCCCCCCCCGCCTGTGGCTCACTCAGGAGAGTGCGGTGCTGATAACACCAAGGCCACGGGTTCGGATCCCACATAGGGATGCCTGGTTCGCTCACTGGCTGAGCGTGGTGCTGACAACACCAAGTCAAGGGTTAAGATCCCCTTACCGGTCATCTTTAAAAAAAAAAAAAAAAAAACACAAAGGCCCCCCACCCCCCCCCCCCCCCCCCCGCCTGTGGCTCACTCAGGAGAGTGCGGTGCTGATAACACCAAGGCCACGGGTTCGGATCCCACATAGGGATGCCTGGTTCGCTCACTGGCTGAGCGTGGTGCTGACAACACCAAGTCGAGGGTTAAGATCCCCTTACCGGTCATCTTTAAAAAAAATAAAAATAAAAAATAAACCTTATAAACTTGGCAAGTCTTTCATAACATCATATGGGTAGCCTAATATGTATTACATTTCAATAAGGCAATAAACATTCTCTTAAAAGCTGATAATCTCTCAAAAGAATAAGTTGGACCCTTACCTTATACCATACGTACAAATTAACAAAAGTGGATCAAAGACCCAAATGTAAAAGCTAAAACTAGAAAAAAATATAGCAGAAAAGCTTCATAATACTAGATTTGGCAACAATTTCTTGGATATTACTTCAAAAGTGCAGGAAACAAAAAAGTGGGGGGTGGGGGGCTGGGTAGGGAGCTGAACTACAACTACATCAAAATTAAAAACTCCTGTGCAAAGGACACAATCAACAGAGTGAAAATGTAACCCACAGATGGGAGAAAATATTTACGAATCGTGTACCTCATAAGGGATTAATATCCAGAATATATAAAGAACTACAACTGAAATAAAATAATAATAAAAAATGAGCAAGGGTCTTAGACATTTCTCCAAAGAAGATACACAATGACCAATAAGCACATGAAAAGATGCTCCTTAAGAAAAGGCAAATCAAAACCACGATAAAGGGCCGACCCATGGCTCACTCGGGAGAGTGCGGTGCTGATAACACCAAGGCCATGGGTTCGGATCCCATATAGGGATGGCTGGTTGGCTCGCTGGGTGAACGTGGTGCTGACAACACCAAGTCAAGGGTTAAGATCCCCTTACCGGTCATCTTTAAAAAAAAAAAGAAAAAGAAAAAAACCACGATAAGGATGGCGTACATCCAATGGGATGGCTACCATCAAATAAAAAAATACAGTTGTTGCCAAAGATGTGGAGAAATCAGAACCTTTGTGCACTGTTTGTGGAAATGTAAAATGGTGCAAACACTGGAAAATAGTTACCATATGATACAGCCATTCCACAAAGAACTGAAAGCAGGGACTCAAACATATGAGGTGTTTGTACACCTCAAATGTTCATAGCAGCATCATTCACAATAGTCAAAAGATAGAACTGACGTTGTTTCCGTCAATGAATGAATAAACAAAATGTTTAGGTTTTGTGTATATGTACAATGGAATATTATTTAACCTTAAAAAGGAAGGATATTCTGGGGCTGGCCCGGTGGCGCACTGGATAGTGCGCCGCTTGGGAAGCACGGCGGCGCTCCCATCCGAGGGTTCGGATCCCACATACAGACCGGCTCCCGCTCACTGGCTGAGCGAGGCACGGGAGCAGCACCGGGGCTTGCGATCCCGTCGCCGGTCCCCGGTCCGGTACGGGGGCAACACTGAGGGTTGCAATCCGTTGCCGGACACGGAAAAAAGACAAAAAAAAAAAAAAGGAAGGATATTCTGACATCCTACAACATGAATGAACCCTGAAGACAATATTCTAAATGAAGTAAGCCAGACACAAATGGACAAATATTGTGATTCCACTAATATAAGGCAGCTAGAATAGTCAAATTCATAGAGACAGAAAGTAGAATGGTGGTTGCCAAAGGCTGAAAGAGGGACAAATGGGAAGTTGTTGTTTAGTCAGTAAAGAGTTTCTGTTTTGCAAGATGAAAAGAGCTTTACAGATTAAGATGCACGACAATGTACTTAACACTACTCAACTATACACTTGAAAATGGTTAAGATGGTACATTTTATGCTTATGTGCATTTTATAATTAAATATTTAAAAAAAATTTTTTTAAGTGAAAAATTCTTTAGAGATTTATAAATTCATATTATAAATACTTTCTACCTCCTCTATTTGCAGTGTCTTCTTATTGTGAAGACACTCATAAACTATTATAGACATCTGGGGTTACTAATTCAAGAATCAGACACTAAGGACCTAAAGTAGAACATATTAAAAAGGATAGTTTGCCCTCAAAAATTAAGAAAAAAGGGCCGGCCCGTGGCTCACTCGGGAGAGTGCGGTGCTGATAACACCAAGGCCCCGGGTTCGGATCCCACATAGGGATGGCCGGTTCGCTCACTGGGTGAGCGTGGTGCTGACAACACCAAGTTAAGGGTTAAGATCCCCTTACCGGTCATCTTTTAAAAAAAATTTAAAAAATTTAAAAAAATTAAGAAAAAAATCTGGAGCTATAACTTTAGATTCAATTCGTAACAATCTCAAAAATTTAAAAAATTAAGAAAAAAATCTGGAGCTATAACTTTAGATTCAATTCGTAACAATCTCAAAAATCAGTTTTCTGCATGCTTGAAAATTTTTCATAGAATGTTTTGGGGAGTGTTTATAAACTTTTAAAAAGCTGAACACAAATCAATGATAAATGACACTGTTTTAATAATTAATTGGATGAAAATTAATATCAAAACAAAACCTATTCTAACTATAGAATATTCTAACCTATGGAATAAAAAAGAAATAAAACTATACTGGCTTGTCAACATTACAGGGCCCTGCGTTAGTCTGACACACAGCATAATGTCTCACATCACGCAGGCCTCCCGTGTTCCACCAAGCAGGGCACACTATCACAGGACAAGGAGACACATGGGTCTTCCGACCCTGCAGACCCATAAGACAGGAGACCTGGTACTGCAGCTTGGGCTGAGGGAGGGTGATGCAGCACTTGAGGGACCCCTCATGGAAAGGAGGCTCCTGGAATCTAGCTCTACAGCAGCATGCCCAACTGGAGGAGCTCATCTACCACCTGCCTGCAGCCCACACCACTGTCACAAAAGCAGACATGCAGAAAAAGAACTGTATGTATTTTTGGACTACTCTACATTAATTTTTAAATCTAAAGCTAATAATGTGATAAAGTGTGCAACTGAAAAAGTACTCTTTTATTCCACTTATTCTTTTCACACAGTACTGATTAAATCCATATCGCATTAGATTTTTAGGATTCAGTGTATAAAATTAGCTTATATCTATTCAAACAAATCCTAACAGGCAAACAGGAGAATGGAATTTCAAAACGTGTTAGGTAATTTTTATTGATTAGTGGACAATATGAATAAGTCAGTGCCTCATAAATCTTCAGCAAATTAACTTTGCTCAAGTCTCAAATCAATAAGCACAGTTAATATGGCTACTTAAATATTCATTCACAAGGACTCAGTAGGGGCTTACTATGTAGAATAATCATGTGAACTGTTAACACTGTTGACTTAACTTTTCTGTTAAGGATTTTCCAGAGATCATAGATAACTGATCCATGTTCGTTCAAAACAATGAATGTTAATTAAACAGAATGGCAGCTTTTTTATTATAATTTGTTGTTAAAGTATAAACAGAGTAAGATGTTGTGTAGCTGGAGGGATGCTTACATATGTATATATTCACGTAACTACCACCTGGATCAAAATATAGAGTATCTCCAGCCCTACAAAGCCTCACTCTTGTCTCTCCCATTCACAATTCTTGCCTACCTCTACCACTATTCAACTTTTTTTCTTTTTAAAAAGATGACCAGTAAGGGGATCCGAACTCGTGGCCTTGGTGTTATCAGCACCACACTCTCCCAAGTGAGCCACAGGACAGCCCTCTATTCTACTTTTTTTTTTTTCTTTTTTGTGACCGGTAAGGGGATCGCAACCCTTGGCTTGGTGTTGCCCGCACCATGATCAGCCAGTGAGAGCACCGGCCATCCGTATATAGGATCCGAACCCGCGGCGGGAGCGCTGCTGCGCTCCCAGCGCACTTTCCCGAGTGAGCCATGGGGCCGGCCCTCTCTATTCTACTTTCTATAACCATAAATTTGTTTTGGATCATCTTGAATTTAATAAAAATAGGATCATACAGTATGTATTTTTTTGTGTCTGGATTCTGTCACTCAACATGTAAGAATCAACCATGTTGTCTGTCAATAGTATGCTCTTTTTACTGCTATGTAGTGTTCCACTGTATGACTGTACCACAATATATCAACTCTTTTATTGATAAGACATTGAGTTATTTTCAGTTTGAGGCTATTAATAAATCTGCTATGAATATTCTTATACAAGTCTTTCGGTGGGCATATGCACTCATTTCTCTTGGATATATACCTAACGATGGAACTGCTGGGCCATACCAAAGGTGTGTACATATTTAGCTTTGGTAGACACCACTGTTTTTTTTTTTTTTTTTCCCTTTCCCTTTTTGTCTTTTTTCGTGTCCGGCAACGGATCGCAACCCTCAGTGTCACGCCCGTACCGGATCGGGACTGGCAATGGGATCGCAACCCTCCGTGTTGCACCCGCACCTCGCTCAGCCAGTGAGCGGGAACCAGTCTGTATGTGGGATCCGAACCCTCGGCGGGAGCACCGCCACACTCCCAAGTGGCGCACTGTAACAGTGCGCCACCGGGCCGGCCCCAACACCACTGGTTTTAAGTGGTTGAACCACATTCCTACCAGCAATGCATGAGGTATGTATGTTTACAGGTATGCAGTATTTCATAATTGTGATTTTCATTTGCATTTCCCTGATGACTAATGGCAATGAGCATCACTTATTGACCATCTAGATACTCTCTTAGCAACATGACTGTTCATGTCTTTTTTTTTTTTTTTTTTGTGGCTGGCTAGCATGGCTGTTCATGTCTTTTGGAAAGTTAGTATTACTGAGTGAAATTTTTATGTGTTGTCATTTTCTTCCCTAGGTAAATAGACACCCTTAGTCATAATAGGTATCAATGGAAAAACATCAGAAAATAGTTTCCACACAGGGTAAATTGTGGAGTTAAGAAATGAATCATACTAAATTGTCAAATATTAATAAAGAGAGCTGGCTTGTTAGTTCACTTGGTTAGAACATGGGACTGATAACAGCAAGGTCAAGGGTTTGGATACCTTTATCAGCCAGCTGGCAAAAAAAAAAAAATTAATTAAGCAATTCACCATTCCTACATGCATTAATAAAAGACCAAGAATAACCAATTATTTTCTAGCATACCTGTCCCAAATTATTCAATGTTTCTGTAATTCATTTTTTCTAAGACTACTATCCTGTATTTTTCTCTATCTAAATTTCAGTTATGAAGGCTAAACATTCACATTTAAACAGGGATATCCACTCAATGTCAATTAAACCTCAGTAAAGCTGGGGGCAGGGGAGAGTTGACTCCTTGGATTTCTAGTCTCACTTATTTTATTAGATGTGCCTTTAATATCTTTTACTATTTCAATTGTATGTATATGAAAAAAGACTATTCACCTGCCTTGGGAAAAGAGAATAGTTGATAAAAAATATTTTGGTATAAAAATTCAAGTTCTCTCCCTATATATACACCATATTTCAACTAGCTATAGGAAGATAATTAGTAGTAGCAGTACTGCTGGCTTAACTGAGCAAAAAGGGAAGTCAGTGGGAGGTTTTAGTATGGAAGCTTTGTTTTTGAGGGGAGCAGGTGTCATTCTGGCTGCTGATAATAGCCTGAGTAGGGCAAATTCAGAAGCGGGGAGGCAGGCTACTGCAATCATCCAGACAGAAGGTAATGCGACTTAGACCAGGATGGTAATAGTGAAGCTGCTCATAACATTTTGAAGGTTTCACAAATAGATTTGCAGATAGGGCACAGGGTACCAGAGAAAGAAGAACCAAGGATCACAATGAGATTTTGGCATGAGCAACTGCAAGAGGAGGAAGACTATATAAAGAAGAAGCAAGGTATATCGGTTTAGTTTTTGACAGTTTTGAGACAGATAGCAGTTTATGAGTCTGGAGTTCAGGAAATATAAATTTGTGAGTTGCCAATATATAATGGTGAAATTATGAAATCAGATGAGCTCCCCAATGAGGTGAGTGTAGATTGAAAGGAGCAGAGGTCCAAGACTTATCCTAAGGCATTCTAATGACCAAAGATTAAGGAGATAAAAGAGAAACTAGGTAAGAAGTCTGGGAGTGGGAGTCTGGGCGTGGGACTAGGAAGGGGAGAACCGAAATAATGTCCTGGAAGCCAAGTGAAAAAAGTACAACATCTCTAATACTGCATATCTGCATTCATATCAACGAAGCATAAAGCTATAAGGGGCCCTGGAGATAACTTTATAGATAAAAACACTAAGGCCTCGAAGTTCAATAAATTGGCAAATGTCACAAATCAAAAGACCTATAAGGGGCCCTGGAGATAACTATAGATAAAAACACTAAGGCCTCGAAGTTCAATAAATTGGCAAATGTCACAAATCAAAAGAGTAACAGTCAGAGAAGATAAAGTTAGATTTATTCTACACTATTCAGTGTCTGACAGTATGGAATACAGATCAAGAAACTAGATCCCGAGGTCTGGCTGGTTAGCTCAATTTGTTAGAGCGCACTGTTGTAACACCAAAATCAAGGGTTCAGATCTCCACCCTGGCCAGCCACCAAAAAAAAAAAAAAGCCAGGCTGTATTCTAAGAGAGTTACATAAAACAACTCATTTAATCCTCTGGGCCCTATGAAGAAAGTATTAATCCTGTTTTACAGACGAGGAAACTAAGATACAAAGACTTCAGATAGTTTGCTCATAATCACACAGCTTAGTAAATGGCAGAGTCAGGATTTGAACTTGATGGCTCCAAAGTAGGAATCTTAAAACACTACAGACAAACCAAGGGAAAGCAGTATAAAGTGCTAAGCAAATGAAGATATCTCTTACTTAGAATCTGAGAACCTTAACTGCACTCAACACAACTTCCAACAATTTTGTTGCTTTCAATTCTTTGAGAGATGACTACTTCAATACTTAGCTTTTACTTTTAGTCTTTCACAGATATCTTCCTGAGATAGCAAAGATTCAATTTTACCAAAATAACAAATGAAATCCAAGACTTTTTGCAATGTAAAGCTAACATCTGATATTACCTAACAAGTCTCTGTTTAAATATAGGTTGTGATTTCAGTTATAACACAGTTTCAGTTATATACTTAAACGAATTTATAAAGGTATTGCCCAAATAAGATAAAGTATAATATATGCTTATGTTTTAAGGCAATTATACATTTAACACTCTTATATTCTTGATATTCATATGAGAAAGGAGGTGAATTCAAAATTTCTTACCACTGATCTTTCAGGATATCCAAACAAATAGCTCCTGTGACGGAACTAATATTAGGATGCCATATTTTAGTGATAAACCGGACCTAGAATATAAAGCACACTTGAGTTTGGAGTAACAGAAATAAAACATACATAGTTTAAGTAGAACTACAAGAAAATGAAATCCTCAGGTTAAAAAATTAAGTCCATACTTCTATTACATCATTTGCCTAGGTGAAGAGGGGTGCAGAAGATAAATCATTCAGTAAGCTGAATACTGTCATTGAATTATATTATTTTTAAACCTTTTAAAAAACACGACACCTTTAAACAAACCCAACAACTAATATGAGCTTACAATTTACACAGCATAATGCTAAATGCTATGAGAAATACAATGGAGACTAAAGTACATTTGGGTACATAAAGTAGCACATAAAATCAAAATATAGATAGTAAGTGGTACTTTTCTCCCATCCAAGTACTAACCAGGCCTGACTCTGCTTAGCTTCCAAGATCAGACGACACTGGACACGTTCAGGGTGGTATAGCCAATAAGTGGCACTTTTCTAAGTGTGAGGTAGGGTACAAAATAGGTTTGAAGGAAAAAGTAAGCAAAATCATGCATGGAAGCACAAGTAGTAAGTGGCTATAATGCTTTTAACTTTTCTGCAGAATTTTTTTTACAAATTCTTTTTTTAAAATAACAAACATTTGAAGGCCTATTATTATATGCCAGGCACTGAGGAGACACTGAGGCTCAGAGTTTAAGATACCCAAAATCAAATAGCTAGTTAACAAGAGAGCAATATGCAAACGCACACGATCTGATTCCAGATTCTTTTTTTTTTTTTTTTTAAAGGATGACTGGTAAGGGGATCTTAACCCTTGGCTTGGGGTTGTCAGCACCACGCTCAGCCAGTGAGCCAACCGGCCATCCCTATATAGGGATCCGAACCTGTGGCCTTGGTGTTATCAGCACCGCACTCTCCTGAGTGAGCCACAGGCCGGCCCTGATTCCAGATTCTGAGTCTCTAATCATCTCACTATTTCTTAGCACTGAAGAATAATAAACCAACAAGTGAAAATGTTAACTATCAGACAACCATTAAATGAAATCTCTAGTTTATCAGCTCTTACTCATAAGCTTTTAAAGGATCTTTATTATTATTTCTGACACATATGATAGCAACCACCTGAGCCCAAATTCTTTAATACTTAATAGGTTACTGTAATTACTAGCTACCAAGTAATATTCTAAGTACTTTACAAAAATTAACTCTTCGACATGTGCTCCAAATCTAAGCTATTTATGGAAACAAGCTAAATAGCTTCCACCTCTCTTTTGTCCTTGTGACTTCTTGATTTGTCTATACTACCTGTCTCTATTTCTTACCTCCTACTCCCTAACTCATATTTAATCTGAAATAGCACTTTAAGTCACTTTAAAACATCTAATACTGGGGCCGGCCCGGTGGCGCACTGGATAGTGCGCCGCTTGGGAAGCGCGGCGGCGCTCCCGCCCGAGGGTTCGGATCCCACATACAGACCGGTTCCCGCTCGCTGGCTGAGCGAGGTGCGGGAGCAACGCCGAGGGTTGCAATCCCGTTGCCGGTCCCGGTCCGGTACGGGGGCGACACTGAGGGTTGCGATCTGTTGCCGGACACGGAAAAAGACAAAAAAAAAAAAAAAAAAGGGAGAGTGTGGTGCTGATAAAACATCTAATACTAATGGATATTTTCCACTACTTCATTCTGGCTGTTTGATCCTTTTTTAATTCTTAAAATAAATAATTTTACTGCTTTCAATGATACTTACTTATCTCCATCCACAGAACCACCATCCCATTAAAGCAGAATATCATTCTTCACTTGGATTACTACAGTCTCCTGACTTTACTGCCTTCTGCTCTGTCCCCTCCAATCCATTCTCCACACTGAAACTAAAGAGAGCCCTTTAAAGCAAATCTGATTTCCAACACTACTCTGTTTAAGGCTCTTTAATGACCTCTCATTTCCTTTATGTAAGCCCACACTCTCAACCTGGCCCTAGCCTACCCCTGAAATCTAAATTTTCACTTCCACCCCATATTCCATTCTCCTGTTCAGTCATATTCAAAATTGGGGTGGTTTTTTTAGGCCTCTGGGCCTTCATGCATGTTTGTTTTTTCAATAACACACCTCTACACCCTCTTCCTCTGGCTAACTCCTACTTATCCTTAAAGTTTCAACTTCCATTATCACTTCTTTCCTGACCTGTTCCCACAATATCTTGTACCTCTAGGAAGGTTGCTATGTCAATGATTACACTTCTATAATCTCTGCCTTATTTGTCTGGTCTTCCCTAAAACGTACTGTTATCCATCCTCCCTAGAGCATCCCCAGTACCTAAAAGTGTTTCATATTGAATGAATGTGCACTTAACTTTATGGCTAACATGTTATTGTAGGGCTAAACAGTCCTTCTCAAATAGAGGGCAGGTCAAATAAGACAGTAACATAGGGCTTATGAACAACAAACATTTCTTTATAACAGATGTAGCCACAAAATTCACATCTTAATATTTACCACTCACTAAGTTTGATGCATAAAGGTACAAAATAACCATATCCCATAATTTCAATCACTCAGGGAAATCACAGCATTTTGTAACTTTAAAAACAAAGGGTTCAATATTTTCAACAATATTGGAAAACAGAATTTTAAACTACTACTGAAGATGTCAGAAAGTTTGTGGTTTAAGCAAGGGATCTGAGGATGTGTTAACTGTATCTTGCATTTTAAAGAATGATCTTCTATACAAGATTCTCTGTAGAGGCATATGCAGAACCATGGAAATATTACCAGGACCAAGGAAATTGTTAAACTAATTCTTACTTTGTACTATAATCTACAAAATAGAAATAATATTAGAAATAATACTGTCCTATTATTCTATACCCAACTTATATCCATTTCACCACTCTCTCCCATAGTCCTATCATCCCTGTCCTATATTAACAAAAGTGTAGAATCAAAAAAACTTGGAAGGGATGAAATATAAGAGTAAGTAACAATACAATGACACTTATAATGACCTCGTTGAGTCATACATGACTCTGATTACAAAACAGATACTTGGTGGTTTATAATACCAAAACACTTATTAATAACAATTCAAGTGTCCTTATTTTCACATACAAAACTCATACTAGCACTATCTGGGAACTTCAGAACAATCACTAGTTTGGGGAGCATCCAAGGAATAAAAACAAAGATCTGAACACTATGTATGCAGCAGATACTAAATGTTACCTGACAGAAATGACAGGGACTATTCTTAATTATCTATATTGGCATACCATCATCAGTATTCTTATCTCTTCCTAGAGGATGCATCTTACATTTCATTCACTGTTTAGTTCAACAAACACTTCAGCTCCTACTTCATGGTAGATATGAATTCATATTTCCATTGAGAATTTCTAGTTTCAAAATTGGAACTCAAGGAAATCACATTATTAAAGCAGCTTTAATTCATACAAAAGAAAATGCTATTTTATTTAAATGTGTATGCATAGACAGGTATGTTCATTAAAGATTATTAGCATTGCTACTGATACTCAATTTCACATATAAAAAAGAATGTTTATAACACTAAGGAAAAAAGAGGAAAATTCACAACCTAATCTTCAATATATAATAGGAAAAATCATTTGAGTTTTACTAATTTAATAGTTTTTACATTAATAGAATACACATTACAATTTACTTTAGAAATACTGGTTGCATGCACTCAATTAAATTCCTTCTACACTATTTTCAGCCTGATTCAAAAATATATTTTCTCTGTTTAGTAGTTAACCTACTGTTCTTCTGGTTTATAATTTAATGCAGGGCTGGCCGGTTAGCTCAGTTGGTTAGAGCATGGTGCTTATAACACCAAAGTCCAGGGTTCGATCCCTTTACTGGCCAGCTGTCAAAAAACAAAACAATAATAATAATAATTTAATGCAGAATAATAACAAAAAATATTCTGCGGCCATGTTAAAATAAACAAATATAAGTTTTCAATCTTTTCTCAAATTTTAGCTGCACAATATTACAAGAGAATATAACTAGCTAACTTCTATCCTTTTACCTCAGAATAAGACTTAAAATTAAACTTGAGTCTAAACATATGCAAACACATAATTTAGCAAGAAATTTACAAATACTCCCCATTCCTTCCATTATATTTACCAGTTAAAATTCACATCAATTTAGTATATGTCTATAACATATTTATCATATGTTCATTAACATTTACTGCAACAGCTTAATCCCATAAATGGGATGCATACTATATTTAAAAGGATACCAAATTTCCACTATGACTAATTGGATGAAGCTGGAGGGAGACAAACTGGGGTTGAATTTCTTTTTTTTTTTTAAAAAAGATGACTGGTAAGGGGATCTCAACCCTTGACTTGGTGTTGTCAGCACCAGGCTCAGCCAGTGAGCCAACTGGCCATCCCTATATAGGATCCGAACCCGTGGCCTTGGTGTTATCAGCACCGCACTCTACCGAGTGAGCCACGGGCCAGCCTGGGGTTGAATTTCAAACATACCTCAGTTCTTATGTTTTGAGTCTGTTTTTCTCATCTTATTTAAAAAAGGGGGAAATAAAAATAAAAATGGGGGAAAATAAAGTTATTTCAAAGATTAAATGAAATATTTTTTTTTTTGTCTTTTGTCTTTTTCCGTGTCCGGCAACAGATCGCAACCCTCAGTGTCGCCCCCGTACCGGACCGGGGACCGGCAACGGGATACCCTCGGGCGGGAGCGCCGCCGCGCTTCCCAAGCGGCGCACTTATCCAGTGCGCCACCGGGCCGGCCCCTGAAATAATATTTTAAGGTGCCTAAAACAGAGCAAAGAGTATGCAGTTACTCTGGAACTATCGTAGTCACTCTATCCATTCTTCCCTGTCCCTCCATTTCTAAACAAACACCAATCTACTTTCTCTCTCTATGGACCTGCCTTTTCTGATGTTTTATATAAATAAAGCATACAGGTGTGGCTTTTAGTTTATTTTATTTAACATAATATTTTCAAGGTTCATTCATGTTGTAGCATTTATGAGTACTTCATTCTTTTTTATAACCAAATAATATTCCATGGTATGAATAGGCCACATTTTATTTATCCATTAATCAGTTAGACATTTGGTTGCTTCCACTTTTTGGTTATTATGAATAATGCTAGTATGAACATCCATATATAAGCTGTTGTGTGAACATATGTTTTCATTTTTATTGGGTAGATACCTAGAAGTGGAACTGCTGAGTCATAATGGAACTCTATTGGTTATTCATTTTAAACAAATTATTTTCCAAAATGGTTGCAACATTTTACCTTCCCACCAGCAATGTATGAGAATTTCAATTTATAGAGGAAACTGAGGTGTGCTATTGTATTTTTAAATGTTTTTAAAAGAGGAAGAAAACAGACTACTTTGGAAGGGAACTCTTGGAGTGGCAGTCATTGGTTAATGCTAGCTTACATTTATAGAATCCTTATTTGGTGTCAAGCACTCTTCCAAGTATTATATTTCATTATATCTCAGGCACCATCGATTATTCAAGACACCATCATTTTATATAAAAACTTTATATAACTGGCAGAGAAAAAAACTCCGCCAATTAAATTATGACATGCCATTCACTGAAAGATGTGTCCTGATTGCAGAGACATTAAAAATGTTAAAAAAAAAAAAAAAAAGTTTCACTGCATTATTAAAATATAGTTCTTTGGGGCCGGGCCATGGCTCACTTGGGAGAGTGTGGTGCTAATAACACCAAGGCCACGGGTTTGGATCCCTATATAGAGATGGCCGGTTAGCTCACTTGGGAGAATATGGTGCTGACAATACCAAGTCAAGGGTTAAGATCCCCTTACCGGTCATCTTTTAAAGAAAAAATAAAAATAAAAATAAATTAAAATAAAATACAGTTCTTTAACTCCTTTAATATTTATAATCCTCTGAAAGGATTTTACAAAGGAGAAAGAGAGGCACACAGAGATTAGATATCTTGCCTAAAATCACAAAGCCAGTTAAATGGAAGAAGTAAGATTTGAACTCTGGTTGACTGTTCTTGATAGAGTCATATTCATGATTTCAGAAATTTTGTCCTCATTTCTTCCCTACCAGAGTCTTATGGAATCTGGGTTCTACCTAACCTCTAAGCCTTAGTTACTTCATTTGTTATGGCTGTTTTTATAAACACTGTTTCAGGAAAGGCATATAAAATTCTTAGCACAAAACAAATGATAATTGCTACTACCATTATTTAACAGTAAAATACAGTGGTTGAAAGCAGTCCCTTGAGAGCTCTTTTCTTTCTTCTTTTCTCATTTATATCTAAAAAAAATAATTACAACCACAAATGTCCATCACAGCTGAATGGAGAAACAAAATGTGGTACATACTACAAGGGAATATTATTCAGCCTTAAAAACAAAATTCTGACCCATACTACGACATGGATGAATCTTGATGACATTATGCTATGTGAAATAAGCCATTTATGAAAGGACAAATATTGTTTGATTCCACTAATATGAGGTACCTGAAGTAGTCAAATTCATAGAAACAGAAAATACAACAGTGGCTACCAGAAGATGTGAGTAGGGGGTAATAGGGAATTACTGTTTAATGGGTACAGAGTTTCAGTTTGGGAAGATGAAAAAGTTTTAGAGATAATGGTGGTGAAGGCTGTACAACATTGTGAATATACTTAATGCTGCTGAACTGTATACCTAAAAATAGTTAAAATGGTACAATCTATGTCACGTATATTTTACCACATAGGCAAAAACAAACAAACAAACAAAAAAACCCAAACTTATCAGAAAATAGATGTACATAAGCAGAATAAAAGACATACTGTCCTGTTAGGTAATCTAAATTCACCCTAGAATTTCCATTACCATGTCTATTCTTAATGAAAGCAATCAATAGATTGAATGAATAAATTCCAGAACATCTCTGAGTGACTGCTATCTTATGCTGAAGGGACATTACACTATTAGGAGCTACAGATAATACATAGGTGTATAAGACACGGTCCTTGACTCAGGAGCATAAAAGATACATCCCAAAATAACACAGTACGTTAATTGGTATTATATTTGTGTTGGTACTACATAAATTGTATAAAATGCTTTTGAGAGTAGAGGGAGAAACATTTGATGGGTACAGCTTAATAGATAAAGTGATACTTTACCCAGACTTTGAAAGAAAACTGGAATTTTAAATAATAGGGGCAAAAGATTCAAATGAAAATGATAGAAAGGTGTGGAAGAATAAGCATCATCTACAAATATATTGTAAATAATCTAAGCTAGAAAATGAAATCCATGTTGTGGGTGGAGGAGATAGAAGATTAGGATGGAAAAGATTGGGGTCAGGTTGTAGGAGGATTTAAATTCCAAGCTAAAAAGTTTAGATTAACAAGAAAAGAAAAGCATCATCATCAAAACTGTACTTGGAAGACTTATAGAACAGCAATGCAAAGAATGAGTAGGAGTGGCAAAGACGGAAGAGTGATTAAATAATAGGCAAAATAGAGAAGTAATAAAGTTGAATGCCTAAACCAAAGTTAAATGGTGATGGTAGCAAAAGTAGAGACATAAAGTGGTTCAGTCAAAATTGTTTAGACTGTATCCCATTATACATGATTCTAGGGTATTCCATTCCCTCTTTTAACACTTACCACAGTTGTAATTGCTTGCTCATTATTTTTTTTTCCTGCTAAAATATGAGCTCTACGAAAGCATGAAAAGTATGTCTTACTTAATGCTATATTCCTTGGTACACAGTACTCAAACAACTGTCGAATGAATGTAGAACACACTCTTCCCCAAAACATATACTTCTTTGAGGTAAGTAACAATCTCTCTTTACATGTGTAAGGGCTCTCTAAATTTGGGAACACTGCAAGTTTTTCCAGACCTAGTATTTCAGCCTTTGTCAGATGCACATTCTATTCCAATCTAGAGCCATTGCTGGCTAACATTAAAGTAAGCTTGTTTTTCATTCTCATTTCAGAAGAAAACCATCTGCCATTACTTCAAATCTTGTCCAAATTAAATTTACACACAGTAAACAACTCGTAAAGCTGTAACTTTAATAAGTTCTACAATATATATTAATGAAATGAGGCAAGAAATATAAAATATTTTAAAAGTTCATGCACAAAAAATAGGCTTACAATACCTTAGGGGGATTAAATGGATATGTTTCTGGTATTTTTATCTCTAGTTGATATCTTCCTCCTAAAAAATGGGGAAAACAGGAAGTTAAGAATGCTGCTCACCTTAAATATGTGGAGACATAATATATTGCTGGAAGTTTTCAAAATATCTATTATTTTACATTCAATAACAAAAAATTCATTTTAAAGTTGAAATCCAAAAAATAATCAAAAGCACATTTTTAATTTAAAGGATATATACAAATCATACAGAATATCCATTTCATACAACTATATTATCAGTAAGTAATATGGCTAGAGATGGATAAATATGGGGGTACTTCAAAAAACTTGTGGAAAAATTAAAAGAAAATACAAATCTTTCCATGGACTTTTTAAAGTACCCTCATACATTAAATCCACAGACAATCCAATGCCAAAGATTTCATTAGAACAATTAACTAGTATAGGTTCTGTCTCCTTTTATTTGTTCTACTCCACCCTGGTAAGAGCTGCTAAATAATAGAAATAATAAAAAGGAAAAAAAGAAAAAAAGCAAGCAAGCAGGGAGGTACAGAGACATGGAAGTATAGAAACAAAGGATTATGCCATAAACTGAAAAATCTACTTCTAGCTGGTTCTCTTAAATGCAAAAATGTCTTTTAACCTGTGTCCTAAATCAAATGCCAACACTTCTTGTTAAAATGTTAAAAACAAAATTCAACATAAGAGATAGGCATAAAGACAAAAAACTATCTATTCCTTTAAATGGTTATACAAAATGTAAAACTTTACAAAGAAGTTGCTCTAACCAGTAATACATAAACAGAAGGCAACATTCTGTTTTGTTTTGAAGTTATCTTGAGCAACTAGCAGCTAAATAGGAATTTTAAAAAGCTTATCTAGCCTCCCATAACTGGGGTGTTCAAAGGGAGAATAACTGCCTCTACAGAGCTCTGAAGGGGGAAGTCTCGCACTGGATGAGAGGCTGGATTCAAATCCTAACTCTAACAAACCTTCCAATTCTAAGACTTTATGACCCATAACATAGAATACTCACTATTAAAAAATATAGCAAATAAAACTATGCTACTGAAATACTTAGTTATGGAATTACGTCTGGAATTTTGCTCCAAAATAATCAAGGGATAGATTAGATCAAAGACTGGCCATGAGTTAAGTTATTTAAGCCAACTGATAAATATATGGAGGTTTCATTACATGATTTTTCTTTTGTATGTACCTGAAATTTTCATAATAAAAACGTAAAAAACCAAACAAACAAAAAAATGAAAACTGTGTGCTTTTAACATTAACAACTTCAAAATTTTATACACTCAGCTCTTGAAAAAGTCAAGCAGGGGATGTTCCTCAGGAAACCTGGATTCTCTCAAATCCAGATACTCCATTGTTATGAATGGATGACTGGATCTGGGAGAAAAATAAAAGAGCATTTCACTTGGTACCACTTTCTTCAAGCCATTTTTAGTTCCAATTGTTCTCTTCTTGCTAATTCTTTTAATAGAGTACCATGGTGACTGTTTAACTAGAAGCCTGAAACAGAACATATGGTAGCAGTGAAATATAAAGAAAAGTAGTCAAAACAAATGGGAAAAAAAGACAGGTAAGATAAAGGTACCTGAGGAAAATTTGTGAATATAGAAATAACTGTTTATGTTCAGAATTATACATGGTAGCTTCAAATATGGCATAATATAAATTCAGCTTTTTTTTTCCTTCCTAAGAATCTTGTTTCTTTTTCTGATTAAATTCCACATTACCACCTCTATAACCTGTCATATAAAGTTCCTCCTTCTTCAATGTCCAAAACTATCTCTTAGGAGCAGTGGAGCACCCAGAGATAGTATATAAATAATGCTGGACTCTACAGTCCCCAAAATCTTATTTCTACTCCATATATTATATGCTCTGTTTTACATTATTACCTGACAACTTTCAATATTCAACCACTATAGCATTATTTGATCATGGCAATACAGCTAAGGAACCTTTATGATAACTATATTACCCATATTATAATAGCTTTCACTTTAAAACATTTACTTCTTGTAGATATTAATATTAAAAATACATAATCTTTAAATTTAACCTAATCAAAAGGGAAGGATATGAGAATTTTTAAACTAACAATGATTCCACAAATTTAAAAGAAAAGCCTCAAAAATTAAAGTGTTTCTTTGCCATTGAGATGTTAAGGCAAAAGTTAAGAAATGTGACTTAAGTACCGTATGCAATACGGCAATTTCCCCTGGCTATTCTATTTCTCAATCTGATTGCTTTTAACACAGTATAAAATGTCTGCCTCTTTTGCTTTAACTTTTAAGTTTGGATTTTAAAAACCCCTTAAAAAAATAGCAAGATCCCTGCAGTAAATGTTATCAAAATATTTTACCTATGCTCATATCTCAAAGAAAAAAGCATCTAAGTTGATCCCTTGAGTGGTGCTTCTCCTAAACAAAGTGAACAAGTTCTCTTCAATAGTTTTATGATAAAAAGAAGAGAATTTAAGTTAATCTATCTCAAATATATACCCAAAAAACATATTAAAACTAATATTATAAAAATATTGTCTCATTTAACAGCAGCAGCAGAAATAAGAACTTAAAAATGACCAAACTTGTTTCTAACCAATAAATATGGTATATGTATCTTATTCTATAGATAAGTGTACACTATCCAATTTTTAAAAAAATCCATCTACTGGGGCCGGCCCGGTGGCGCACTGGATGGTGCACTGCTTGGGAAGCGCGGCGGCGCTCCCGCCCGAGGGTTCGGATCCCACATACAGACCGGTTCCCGCTCACTGTCTGAGCGAGGCACGGGAGCAACGCCGAGGGCTGCAATCCCGTTGCCGGTCCCTGGTCCGGTACGGGGGCAACACTGAGGGTTGCGGTCCGTTGCCGGACACGGAAAAAGACAAAAAAAAAAAAAAAAAAAAAAATCCATCTACTTATTAATAGTTGCTAAGAAGGTAAAGAACATTCTACCTAATTTATCAGTAAGTGTCTTGTTTATAAAAATCAATTTGAAGAGCTCTAGAATGATAATGCTATTGCCCTACTGTCTTTTGAAAAGACATCTAAACAACCTAAAAAAGGAATTCAAGAGTAACTGTAATGCCTGCTTTCAAGAAGAAGCTAGTATATCATTACATAAAACATCTGCTATTAAGGCAAGCACCTGATTTTTGTAAGATAACAAAAGCTCTTCTCTACATTTAATGACGGTCAAAAGGACTAAATGAAACAGCATCCATGAAAGCATCCTGACTAGGTCTGGCAAAAGGAGGTACTCAATAAACAATACAAAAAATTAAATCATAACTAGAAATGGCTCATATGAACTATAAAACAGAAAATAAAATTTTATCCCTTCAGAATTGGTACAACATGCTAAAAACATTCTAGGGTCTTAAAAAATTTAGAAAACAGAAAAATATTCAATATCAGATTTTTCTGAAATTTTTTGGGGTAACTGTTCATTACAAAATTATAGAACCACTACAGATATAACCCCCACTTCCAATATTCAGTCAGTCCTGATTTATTAAAAAGCAGAAAGTATTAAAAGCATAGGCTTTGAAGTCAAAGGCTATCAGCACTCAAATTCCAGCTGTGCCACTTAGATGTTTAACTTCTCTGAGCTTAAGTTTCTTCATCTATGAAACAGTGATAACTTACCTCATAAGATTTGTTGTAAGGACTGAATGAGAAAATAATGTAAAGCTCTTATAAGTAAGAACTACCACATATTCCATTACATGCTTTCTGTTAAACAAATATTTGAATGCCTATTATATGCAAGAACCCTGGTTACACTATAACCCAAATTTACAATATTCATTAATAAAGATTTGCCTAATGAGGTACTACAAAGCTTCTTCTTTCTGTATCTTACCACCCAATTCAATTGTCTAAAATAGCTACAGACTTAATTTGTGAATATGAAGTACAGCAAAGCTGCCTCCTTTCTTTTCTGTATTTTGAAATGATCACCCAAAGCTCTGCTACATAAAGAAAATTAAGTATTTGGAGTATTGCCTTTGAAGACATATCAGTGAATAAAATGCTAATGGACAAACAGAGGAGAGGAGCTTTAGAAACAAAAACATTTGATCAGTCAGAAATTTAAGGCAAGGTTTGTTATAGATACCATATGAAGGGTAATTGAGAGTTTATAGCCCATATAAGTTAGAGGCTCAATAGGCTACATTTTTTATCCTGTTAAATTCTAACCTATATAACCTGTTACTTGGCTCTGCTAAATCTATTTTGTGGAAAGAAAAAAATTAGCTAAAATTCGGTGAGAAAAACCAGATAAGAATCTAAATTTATTATTTTAAAATTGCTGTATATCCTAAGCCAAATGAAGTAAATTTACATGTAGCTTGTAGATTCTTAAAATTATTCTGATGTAATGTTTCAGACAAGTTCTAATACGCACAATATTTTGATACAGAAAAAAGTACTTGCCTTCATATGGTGTGTCTGGAGGTCCTGCTATTTCTCCTCTTAATTCTGTAAAATTCTCATCTACAAGATCTACTTTAATTTGATTTTTGCTCGTCTTAAAAATAAACAGAAAATAAATGTTAGTCATGTCAGCAAGAAAAAGCCTATTTTAAAATATTACCTACAAAAAATTTTGAAGCCCCCTCTTTCATAAGCTTGATTATCTGCTCTAGTAAAAGTAATAGTTTGTGCTTTTCTAGGACTTAATTAGCCACTTTTAAGAATATTAAAACAAAGAAACTAAAATTTTAACTTCAACGTTTTTAAGAAAAAACACCACTTTGAACAACAGTACAATGGCTTGTTGACTTTACAGGAACATTAGAGAAAAATAGTAGACAACCTATTTTATGTTTGCAACTCTGTGTATGTTAGGTCCAATGTGCTAAATTTATTCACCTGTAGATGAATGGTGAGATACTATACTCTCCAAGCTTACATGTGTTCTGTCCATATAAAAAGAAAATTCAGGGTCATTAAAAGCCATTTAACCCATAAGTGCTCTTACTTGAACTAATCATAACAATTTTTATGTTAACTGATTGAAATACTACACCATCCACTAGGATGGTGAAAGCTCTAGGCATCTGATTAATATTCCTTTCCATGGAAATTCCCAAAACCTAAATGCCTCACTAGAATCTTCTAATACCTTCTTCAGTTTGTTTTTCTGCTTAGTTTATTTCAATGGAACTATCTAGTTTTCAAAACATATTCCTACTTTAAATTTATCTACATCTACTTATTTTGCACTTTACACTTCTTAAAGCACTTTCACATCTATAATATCACTTGCATCTCTTAATCTTGTGACAGTCCATTCTCAGAGTCATGACGACATTTAGATTCAGAAACCATCCAGTGGGATTCACATTAACATTCACAACTACCTGCCTGCAAATGGGCTCTCCACTTGTATTCTCAAACCTATGCTAGTATCTTACTGGTCTATATTCTATTCCTAATATAGTCAATCCTTTCCTTCTCTCAATTTTTAAAGCCTAAATCTCTAATTTTTAAGTCATGTTTTCATTTTTTTGTTAGGATTACATTTTTACCTAATTGACACAACATAACTACTCTTATGAAAGAAAGTCTACCAGAAAATTTCAAGATTAAATTTTTTTTGCTTTTAGACTCACCTTCTTACACTTCTTAACTGGGTGGAACAGTGTTAAAAGAACTACTTTTTTAAGATCCTTGGCTTCCTCTGTTTGCCTCCAACAAAAGATACCATTTTTACTCTTTTTCTGTACTAAATATTTTTAGTACAAAATGTTTAGTACAGAAACCACAAATAACTTAAAACTCAAATGTTTAAAATTTCACATGACTCCTAATTAATCCTTTCTTTTAATAAGAACATAAAACTAAAAAACTTACTTTCGTGCATTTTAAAAACGTTCTAATTAGTACTGGTTTATTTCGTAACCATTTTACATAGGGGATTAAAGTATTTCATATTTTTCTGAAAATATTTTTATCCAAAAATGAAATTTAATTATAAACATGCATAATGAGAAACTTCTTCCTGTACCCTAAAAAATCATTAACATCCTTGGTCTCTGCGGTAGAGGAAATGTATATTTTAGCAATAGTAAAAATACTCTGTCCATCATGTACAAGAATGAATAATGTTAAAAAGAAAATTGGAAGCATCCAACTCTCACTGACCAATTTAAGAAGTCACAAGTGTAACTACAGACTTCTATCTCTACCCGTAAGATTTCTAAATAAAACAAGAGTAATGACATCTTGCAAATCATCAGTGCTTTCTCTACAGATCTCTACAGCTTCCCACAACTCTCCCTCTAAAAAAGAAGAGAAAATAACAATGAAATATTAGGATACTAAAGGATCTCACTAGACTAAAGTTTTCAGGATGGGAGGAGTGGGTAATGGAGATTAGAAAAGCTCCTTTCTGGGACTTCCACAACTCTCTGGCTAGTAAACTGCTAAATAAATATTAATTTTTATACCTCTGTCCTTATTTCTGTCCACATCATCCCCAAATTGTAACTCAGAGAAAAATTGATCTTTTTTCCATTCTAGAGAAAGAACACTATTAGTGTACGAAAAATTTACTAAAATCAGATCAAGAAAATAGTACCACCACGACAAATCTCATTATAAAGAAGTATTCTATATACGGTCTAGAGTTGGGTTTTTATCTGTAGATAACTAAAGACAAAAAGAAAATAGAAAGTTAAACACAAAGATTTTTCACAGCTTAATTTTTCCACCAACCTCCACAGTTTAATTCAAACATCCTGTTATGTCACAATCCCAAACTCCAATCCCACTGGCCCCACAAACTAACTTAAAATCCCAGTTTAAGACTCAGGAACTATAAGGAAGACAGGGAAAAATGGCAAAAGATGACAGTATTAGAAACAGCATGGCCAAGAGCTGGCTGATTAGCTCACTTGGGTGGTGTTGGTAATGCCAAGGTCATGGTTTCGGATCCCAAGATGGGCCAACCATCAAATTTAAAAAAAAAAGAGAGAGAAACGGCATGGCCTTTGGAGTCAGACAGATGTGTGCCGAATCCTAGCTGTCATTTATTTGCAGTATTAATTCAGGTACATCATGTAACATCTAACTCTCAATTTTATTACTGTAAAATGAGAATACTTATCTCAGAATTTAATGAGAATCTCCTGAACAGAAGTAAGCAGTATAGCTACCCTTTCCTTAACATTAACTACAAAACCTCTGATTTCACAGCTCTGTTTTTTTAAAATTTATTTCTCAGTTCTGTTTCCAGAATGGAAATGTAACTTTTAAAAGTAAATCACAAAACAATCTGTCTATTCACTTTAATGACTGCAACAACCAACAACTAAAAGCTGAAGCTTTTAGGTGAAACCCTGAAGAACTGTTATCACTGTACTATATTTTTGTGAGGATAACTAAAAAGCTGCTTTTCTATACTTTCTTCTCCCAACTCAGCTAAACATAAAGCATGACTTCTGGTAGTCTTCTTTTTCTGATGTTCTCTGGGGGCTCCAAGGCATTTCTAATGCATAAAAGGAAAAGAGAAGAATAGAAGCTACAGTTCCTAGCAAACAATTTCTAAGTAAACTACATTATTAAGATATACATAAAGCATGTAAAATAGCATACAATGTTGCAGCTAATTTGGACAAGTTAAAAAATATATATAGGCCGGCCCGGTGGCGCACTGCTACAGTGTGCCGCTTGGGAAGCGAGGCGACATTCCCGCCGAGGGTTCGGATCCTACATACAGACCGGCCGCTCACTGGCTGAGCGAGGGGCGGGGGCAACACCGGGGGTTGCGATCCCGTTGCCGGTCCCGGTCCGGTACGGGCGCGACACTGAGGGTTGCGATCCGTTGCCGGTCACGAAAAAAGACAAAAAGACAAAAAAAAAAAATATATATATATATATATATATATTATTGCTGATAAGCAACGGTGCAGAATTTAAAGCAGTTCTAATAGATTTCTAAAGCCAAGTCTCCCAGTGAAATAATATCATCATCATCATAAAAATTATTTCAAATAGTTACTGGAGTCTACTATATGCCAGAAAATGATCTCAAGTGTTAGTGAACAAAACCTAAGTTCCTGACCACTTGGAGCTTACAATCTAGTGGGAAAAACTAAAAATTGAAAGATTTTTATCATATAAGCAAAGCACTAAGTACAAAGCATACTGTTATTTACCCTGTTTAAAACTTACTGTGTAACCCTGATCAAGTTAATTAACCATTCTGCACCTCACTTTCATCCTCTGTCAACTGGGGATTATATGAGTACCTACCTCACAGGGTTCATGGGTGAATTTAATGAATTAATAGAGTATATAGAACAATGACTGTCATAAAGTAAATGTTCAGCATATACTAGCCACTTATCATTGGAATATGTTGACTTTGACTCTCTTTTGGGGGAAGGGCAGCTGGCCAGTAAGGGTATCCAAACCCTTGATTTGGCATTAATAACACCCCACTCTAAATCAACTGAGAAACTGGCCAGCCCTGGAAAACGATATTGAAGTAGGAAAATCTCCACACAAGCAAATATGGCATTTTTTAAAAGGATAATTTATGTATTAGTCTCACACTTCTATTTACTCTGGAAAATGTGTTCTAAAATAAAATTTCAGGTAAGACCAATATAATTCCAAATACTCCCTAAAGATAAAGGTAATTCTCATATGCTATAAGGGAATTGTTGATTTATGTCCTGGTCAAGTCACAACTACCAAAATTTAGGGGCATTGTTCATCATTATTATGCAAATAAACATGAAATTCAATTCTTCCTAATTTGTTCAATTGAGACTTAAAAAGGCTTATCAGCTGCTGTTATTTTCTCAAAATTTAATATGACTTATATTTCCCCTATTACCCAAAGGCCCAAGAACTGATCAAGATTTCCACCTTCTAAGCAGTTTAAAAAAAAAAAATTTTTTTTTTTTTTTGAAGCTTGGGGAATATAACATTCCCAAAGCAAAGTTGAAAACTAAAGGACTGGAAGGATAATGGGAAACCAGAGCCATGGAGACACATCCACGGTCCTTACTAACAGCAAGTTTTAGATCACTATTGTCCAATAAAAATAAATGTAAGCCACAAATGCACCATAAAACTTGCTGGTAATCACATTAAAAAGAGTAAAAGGAAACTGGAGAAATTTATTTTAATTATATACTTTATTAATACCAATATATACAAAATGTTATCATTTTAACATGCAATCAAAATAAAAGCTTCTAAAATACATTACATTTTTTGGTGGTAGGTCTTCAAAATCCAGTGCGTAAATTTTAAATTACAGCACATTTCAATTTGGACTGGCCATATTTGAAGTGCACAAAAGCCACATGATAGGCAAATCCAAAGAGATAAAAAGTAAATTATTAGTTGTCAAGGGAATGGGGGAAGAGGAAGAAGTGGGAAGGATCTGCTAATGGGCATGGGGTATGTTGGGAAAACTGAACAATTTGGTCAGGCTCCCCGCACCTCAGAGCCTGTTTAGAGTCGTTCAGTAAACATTGTGTGTGTGGGTGGAGTAGGTGCACCCAAACG